TTACTAATCCTCTAAAATGTCGGGTTACAAAACATCTGCAGACTGCTGATGGGACCAAACGAGGGGGAAGAAAAGGAGGGTGAGCCGGAGAGAGTTGAAGATGTGGGGCGGTGGTGGTGATGGTGGCGAAGAGGTTGTCATGGTAACCACTTCTCCTGCTGCTGGGGGTGATGATGTAACACTGCCCATAGCTGGGTCTCTTTTCTTGTCCTTGTCCTCCCCACCTACGCTCTCACACATGCCTGCATGTGTGCGACGTGGAGGAGACACGCAGGGACAAAGCCAGTGTCCACTGACTCTACACGACCCATTAACACTAAACGGCCCCTTTGAGCTAAAACCTGCTGCAGCCTAATCTCTCTCTCTTTTTTTAATGAACAGATTACAGTTGCCTTTTCTGTCTTTTTCAGAACAACAGATGCTTGTAGTTTCAAAAGAATCCACTGCTCTTAAGATAAAACAGCCCTCTCCTCCCTTTGGTCTCCCATAATCGCTGCTCCCCGCCGTACAGATCACATCATCAAAGCTGCGTGTGTGTGTGCACTCCTTGCATCATTAGACGACAAAAGGTAGAAAACCTCCGCATGGCAGTTAAAAGGATGTTGTAGTAACCTACAGTGCAGCCGATGCAGAGGATGATTCCTGCCACTTGAGGGCGTCGATCAGCTGCTGTGCTCAAAGGCAAAGAACAAAAACAACAGCTGGATTAAACACTTTATTCATAGAAATGTACCACAGGTTGGAAATATACATCAGTCGAAAACAAGGCGTAAATAAGGATTAAGGTCATCCTTCAACATCTTCACAGGAACTAGTACGTGTGACATTTTGGCCCAAACACAAACCATCAACACAACCGCATTCATACATCTGTTTAAAAAGCACATCTGGGATTCAATTTGACATTTTCAATTATGTTTTTTTTTCTCTCATACATAAAAAAAAAATCAGAACATTTTAATGTCTGCTGTATTTTTGTGCTGTGCTTTGTGATCCCATTCCCATCATTCACACCCAAAAATCAGCAGTTTGTGATTGTCTTCATCTGTACAATAGCATAGTTTGAAGCCAGAGAGTTTGTTTTCTTCTTCTTCTTCAGGCTGCAGCTTCATATCTCTGGCTAAACAGAACCTCCACCACCTTGGGGTCAGCCAGGGTGGAGAGGTCCCCGAGGTCCTTGTCGTTGCGAGCAATCTGTCTGAGGATTCGCCTCATGATCTTTCCTGAAGTGGATGAGGACACGATGTTACACAGGAGGCAAGTAGAGGAAGATGATGCCGATTTATAAAGGTGTTGGACTGTTACCTGAGCGAGTTTTTGGGAGCGCTGGGGCATTCTGGATGAAGTCTGGTGTAGCGATTGG